GATTCTAATGAAGGAACTAGGAAGATTTTATGGAGTTGTGTTTGAATTTGTATGTGTAAAGGAATATACTTGAATTTGTTTTTATGAACTTCTATTTCTGTTCAACTTTAAAATTTTGTCATAAGTATAAAATCATGTATTTATTTATGTATATGTACTACATATGAATTAAAGTATTTGTTTTGAAATAAGTTTAATTATAGCTAGTCTTGTTTAATTATAGCTAGTCTAAACAAGAAAAGAAATAGGTTTAATTATGGTTTAATCTATATCAAAGGTTATAATATTCAATGAATATACAAATATACCTATAGGTATTTCTATACCTAACAAGTTGGGTAACAAATATAGATTTCTAATACCTATGTAAGTATTGGGTATCAAAATTTTGAATCTATTGCTATTTAAATCAACTACAGGTCAACCCTTGCCCATACACGCTTGCCCATACACGCTTGCCCATACCCGCTTGCCCCTTCTTATACTCATCAATATTAATATTATTACTTATTAAATTTTGCTACCATTAAAGTTTAAAATGCATTAAGGTTCAAAAAAAAAAAAACTAAAATTTTCTTAGTGTCTAGATAATTCTTCTATTTATTTAGCTAATTTTAAATTGTTATTTTATTTAGATGTTTCAATATTTTCTTCTTTAAATTCAAATGATGATTATTTATTTACTTTTCATTGTTTATCAAAAATTAAAAACTAGATAAATTAAAATTATTACTTTATTTGCAAGACAAATAAAATTAAAAATTCTTACTTAAATCTAATTTGAAACTTATATAACAAAAACTCTTTTAAATTATGTCATTTTTTTTAAATTCAAAATTTACGTTATTAAATTTTTAATTTAAATTTATAATGGCAAAAATATGACATAAGGACCCGAACTTACACCAAATTCGCAATTTCAGACCCAAACTTCAATTGCGCTCAATGAAGGTCCCGAACTCCACCAAATTCTCAAATAAGGACCCAATTGGACGGAAAACTAACTTCCGTTAAATCTCCTATTATTCCGTTAATGTTCCGTCA